GCTCATATCAATGGCCCGAGTGGCCGGAGTTTTAGCCGGTGAAGCTTGTTGGACAATTTGAAGGGGATAGCGATCATTGAAGGCTCAAATATGTGTTTCGGATAATAGTTTAAGGGGATCAGTGAAGCTGCTCTTTGGACTCAGAAACTTTCCGAAAGCCGCCAAGCTAGAAGAAACCAAGGATTATTGTTGTTACATTATTTTTCCATTGGGTTCCTAATGTGACATAGGGCTTCAGTAGCACACCTCAATTGCACTCTGTTCTCTGCAGTCTTTTCAACCTGGCTCCACGACTGCCCATAAGCTTTCGTTTCTTCTTCACATGATCTCCTCCATGTCACCCTCATCTGGGATGCCCAACTCGTCGTTTCCCCTCTGGGTTCCACTCGAGCAACTGGCCTGGTGCGTGATGCTCCCTCCCAGTCGGCCTTCTCAGTGTATGCCCTATCCAATCCGATGCATCTCCACTTTCTTCTGCATATTTGTTGGGTGATGGATTCTTGGTTGGTTCGTTGACAGCCAGAGTGAGTCCCCAGTTGCTTATTCTTATTATTCTGGCCATCTGATCTTCAGTGTCAGTATCGAGTGAGCGTAGGTGTCAGCTGTTGATGAATGTCTGTAGTTTGTTGGAAGTGGTTTGCGTGACGCGCCAAGTTCTGAAGCATCACATAGAAGCACTAACTTACTTGACTGAATTGGTGTTGAATATCCGGATGTTGTTCTTTATGCTGAGTGGAGTGCAGTAGATCTGCACACTGGTTTTAGATTAATGAAAGCCTGTCTTGGTGTCTTTCCGATCCTGGTTTTGACATTTTTGTCTGTGCAACGTGTAGTTGGTACGATGGTGCCTAGGCAGAGTGGTAGGTGAAAGGGACTACTTCCTTTAGGTTTCTGTCACTGATGATGGTTGGTGGTGTTGTTGTTGATGCTGTTGTTGGTTGGGTATCTTCACCACCCCTGTTTTTTCTGCGTTCACTTGAAGTCCCGCCTTTGCTGCCCTGGCCCTTCTGTTAGCTTGCTGGTTTTTGCCTGCAGATCTTCGAGTTTATGCGACAAGGTATTAGACATAAATCATCATCGGTGAAATCCAAATCTTATAGTCTCTTCATCGTTGCAGCCAGCTTAGGACCATCTTCTCGCTACTCACAGTTTGTTGCATGATCCAGTACAGTACAATCAGGAAGGTCATCGGTGATGGTAAGCGGCAACTTTATCTTAATCTTGTCTTCACTTCAAAGGTATCACTGAACTTTCCATTGTGGATCACTTGGCATGTAGCATCATACAGCACATAGTTGCTGTCGAATGAGGTTGATAAAGGTTTGTGTCACTAAGACCGTAATGTTGAAGCAGCTGGCTGCAAATTGCTTCCCATCTGACGCTTTTGAAGGCCTTTTCATGGTTGATGAAGTTGAATTAGAGATCCAGTTGACTGGCATTCTATGCTCTGTCCTATAATGATGTGTCGCGTGGCGTAGCAATTTGATCCGCACATGATTTATTCTTCCTAAGGCCAGAGCATATTTTAGTCTTTCCAGGATGATTCGGCTTAATATTTTGTTTGGGGTGGACGGCAGCATTATTCCGCACCAATTCTTGCAAAGACATAGGTCTGCCTTCTTTGGGAGTTTGACAAAGTGGCTCTTCTCCCAATCTGCAGGTACCTCTCGTTTCTTCCAAACCTTCTACGGTAGCGGCATGAGCATGTCCGCTGTTGTCTCTGTGTCTGTTTTCAGTGCTTCTGGTGGGATTCCATCTGGTCCTGCTGCTTTCCCGCATTTCAGTGGCTTTATGGTATTCAGAACTTCGACTTTCGTCGGAGGGCTTGTGTTCACTGTTAATCCTGTGGGTGGGCTGCTGGTGGTATTTCTGGACGAGTTGTAGGTGGTGGTGGTAGTGGTCGATTGAAGAGCGTTTTGAAGTGGTCAGCTCATCGTTTCCTTTGTTTCTCCTCTTTGGTGATAATAACTAGGTTTCCTTCACTATCTGTCATTGGTTCCATCTGTGATGTGTTGATCTCTCCGCAGACAGCAAGTGACCTGGTTACTTGATACAATGTTGTTAGGTCTTTGTCTCTCCTACCTGCAGCCTGTTCGGCTTCACTTGCAAATGTGTCGTAGAAGTGTCTTTTGTCTTTGCGTGCACTCTTCTTCACTTCTTTGTCCAGTGTTTTATGCATAGTACTCAGTTCCTCTTCTCGTTGTTCATACCTGCAGTGCACTGCCCTGGTTCATCTTCTGCTTCACTGCCTCCTCTCCCTACTCTATCACCTTCCATGTGTCCGTCAAGATCAATTCCTTATCTTCTTCCTTCCTAACACGGTGATGCAGGTTCCTTTCCACATCTCTGTCACGGAGTTCCAGTGTTCTTCCATTCAGGTTTCCTCGAGGATGTTACTTGTATACCATAGCTTCTCATTTCTTCCGCAATCTTGGCAGCATTTTTAGGTTCAAACATCTTGTAGACATTCCATGTCCTCATTCTTACTTTTGCTTTCACCAGGAGAGGACACAGGCCAATTTGCTTCACGAGGGCCTTCACCAACTGGCGTCATTTCGTCTCTCTGATTCCAGCGAGGAGTAAGTTTATTTTTGCTTCTTATATTTTCTTTGTGCTTTGAAGTTTCTTTGGTGACTGGATGGGTTTGCAGGGTGGGAAGCGAGCCTTATGCCCTACCTTCCCTCGTTATCCGGGCTAGTAACTACCTAGGATTTTCATTGAAAATGGCAGCGCGGAATTCCCCATATTGCTAGCAAAAATATTCAGCCTGTCCTTAAACTCTGGCACTTTTCCACTTTCATGGAAAAATAGCCATATTACTATGTGCTTCATGAAAGGCTCCAGACTCTACCCGGAAAACTACCGCCCCATCAACATAACGTTTGTCCTCTCGTGTATAATGGAGAAAGTAATGAAAAATGCCATCTTTTCTCACTTTTCAGATCACAAACTTATGAACTGCTCGCAGCATGGATTTCTGTCTAAGAAATCTTGTATCACATGTCATCTAGAATTCTTCGAACACGTAATTAACGGTAGAGACGATGGAAGCGTAGTTGTCTCACTTTACTTCGATTTCACAAAAGCTTTTGACAAAGTGCATCACCTCTCGCTCCTTCAGAAATTGAATTCACTTGGAATAAGCGGCAAGTTGCATGACTGGGTCGGCCAATTTCTGCTGGACGGCATCCAAGTTGTCAAACAGGTTCATACTGTTCCCTTCCCAAAAAATACTGCCAGTGGAGCTATCCAAGGCTCCGTTCTCCGACCCCTTCTCTTTATAACGTATATAAATGATATATGCACTTGCTTTTAATCAGGGAAAACCTTCCTCTTTACAGGTGACTTGAAAGTGGTGTACGCTTTTCATCCTAACCAATGTAGCAGCATTATTACCACCATACAAAACTATCTTGACAAGCTAAAAAGATGGTGTGACACGTGGCTGCTGCCTCCGAACACTCAGAAGTCCGGCTCTATGCTCTTCGGTGAACACAGTGTGCCAACTAATCTAAAACTTAACGACATTGCGCTTCAGCAGCTAAATAGTATCTGCGACCTTGGAATAAGGTACTCCAGTGACCTTTCCTTTACAGAACATGCAACGGCACAGTGCTCCAAATCACGCCTCCTCAATGGCTCCATTCACCGGAATTTTCGCCTGAATGAAACCAAACTGATTCTACATAAGATGTGCTTGCGACTAGAATACTGTACTGTCGTGCTTAGTTGCTTGCGGTCTAGTGACAATCAGAAAATAGAGAAAGCCCAATGACACATTACCAGACCTATTTCCCCAGGTAATTCATACAAGGGCAGATGTCATGTTAATCGGTTACAGCCTATGTGGTTAAGGCGAATAAAGTTAAACCTCAGCATTTTCTACAAAGTCCTACACCGTGAAGTGACTACTGATGCGGATAAAGTAAAGTTCGCTGACAAAAACCCTATAATCTTAGAGACCAAGACTGCCTAGTCACACTACCATATGCGTCTAAACGGCTCAAGTCTTCATTTTTCACAACTCGTTACGCTAACATTTGGGACAGACTGCCGCATGATGTCCGATGCTGCAAGACCATATCTCAATTTCAGTCAACCTTGGACCACTACCTCAATGAACTTAGAGTACGCAGGGTTCTTAATGTACCCTACATAGACAACTCCATGTTCCTTATTGACCCACCAAATATATAGAGTCAAACAAGCAATAATCCAATGCAACCACCCAAAAATTCATCAAACGGTGAGTTATTTTTGTTGGCTTACATAATATTCCATGTAAATTTGTGGTAATTGTATTTGATGCTAGTTACTATTCCTAATCTCAGCTACTCTTAACCCCTCCTACAACTAAATATTCTGCCCACCGTTCCCTTTTTTCTTTGTAATGAGCTAGGAGTCTTTGTGCTGTACAGTAGTACAAGTCAGTTTTGCGTGATAGATCAAGCTTGACTATTGCATGAGTAGAGGTATAATGGTCATAGGTGTTACCCGACGTGTGGTACATACCGAAGGACGATTGAATCAATAATGCATGCACGGTCTTAGCCAGCTGATAGCAAGCTGGAAATATCCTCGTGCCCGTCAACTCTACTGGGTGTAGCACAAAAATATTTAAAAAATAACTTGAAAATATGCGAAGATAGAGATAACTGACCAGGAGGCATGATGGTAGGGGATAAACTTGAACTACCCTTGCCTCTATGGCAGTATTTTTATGAAACCTACGGCTCTTGTGCTTATGACGAAAAAATAATAGTAAAAAGAATGAGGTTACCAAAAAAGCCCTCGAGGTCTACTAGCTCAGCTCACTATGGACCACCATATTGTCTCTATAGTCCCGACATTGTAACACTCAACAAGCAACACCATGATCATTCCTCCCTCATGACTATATAAAAAGTGGTTTCCATTACAGAAAAAAGCATGAGTTCTATTTAAATGTCTATAACTTCATTAAACTTCTGTACACAGGTCTTCTACACATAAGCAAATACCTGGTCTAAAACTTTCTATTCTCCCTATTCCATAGTGATACCTTCGGCTATAGTTTAGTTTCCACTACTTTTGTATACACCTTCATCTTCTCCCCCATAAGCTTATCCATAAACAGTAGGTTTTGGATACCTCTTTGAGTAAGTTTTGCAGTCAGCACAGTGAACTCACCTACATGTATCATGGTCGATGTACTTCCGCGTGGTATTTCTGTGCTCCTGTTTCGGATTTCGTCTGCTGCTTGCTTTTGTTATTCATTTTTCAGGCCTAATCAACCAGTCCTTCATCCATATAGAATCCTAGTAGTCTAATTTGCCGGCTTGCACTATGCCATCCAGACCTTATGGCGAGCGCATAAAGCCCAAAGTCACAGCTGTACTACCCTCCCTGCCTTCAAGAATATTGGAAGATTCAAACAATAGCCGAAGAGTTCCTACTTTCGAACTGAGCTTACCTCAGTATGATGGACAGTTGTGCTGGTGTTTATCCGTTTCATCCTTTGCTGTCTGCAAAGCATTGACGTTCCTTAATGAACCGGAAAGAACGGAGTCCATTGTACAGCTTCATATTGTACATAACAGTCAGCTCGCATTACCAAAATGATCAGACCTTTAAACTTGTTTGTTTTCATGTAACTTATATCGCATGAAATATGTTATTGTTAATATTATTAGTGAGCTAGTCTATTCTTGTTTAGAAATAACTTATGGCAACTAAGGACCATTAACGGAGAGGTGCGGAGGAAGATTCGAAGGTAAGTATGGGAGAGGTAGATAGTGGTCTAGGGGGGGCTTAAACGCTGACAGAATTGTTGAAATGGTCGGCACTTTTTGGCTGCCCACACTGTGGGGTGCCATGTTTCCTCCAGTTACCTGAAAAATTAGATTAGTGAGTGATCGCCGAGCCCGCTGGATATCTGCTAGAGGCCACTCACGTGCGGTCTTTTTGGTGCGACTAAAAGTGGCCCATGTTATGGAAGGGGTGGCCGGACATGCTCCAGTATTTTTTTGATCACCACTAACCGCTGATGGCTGCTGCAAGTCATCGTGACGCATCAGTTCATTGTTTTCGAATGTATTGATGGTAAAGGCAACTAGCTTCTGTCTAGTCACCATTCAAAAGCCAATTTCTGTATGGTGGTACCTCGGGGGAATATGCGTTCCACCAACAGCTACTTGGGTCATCGTGATATACAAGCCCAACCATCACATCAGGGTTGCAGCAATCAGTCAGGTCCCCCGCAATTTATACGAAGTTTGCTCAAAAAGTTGTTTTACCGCATCAAACTTCTCTGTCCAGGCAACGCTTCCAATGAAGAACTCTGAATTAGCCGTGACTTTCCCATTGGCAACGACCATCCTCAAATATTCGTTTCTGAAAGCGAAACAATCCTCTGGCCGAAAAGAGCGGTCGTACTCCCGGCGTATAAACCTGAAAATAAACTACTTGCCTCTGACTGTGCACCGGCCCTGTTACCTCCAATTGTAGGGGGATACGTATAGAATATTAAATAATTCCTTCTGTGATTGTTTGCTGGGGAAGTAAATCCCCCTTGCTGGTTTTTACCTGAGGGGTAATGTGACACCGACTTGCTGGTGGCTTGGAACAGGTGAACTCCCTTTGCAGATCGGAAAAAGTCCATTCATGTTGGGTCACCTGACTCTTCCAATACTTTTGACAGGGCTAGTCATGGTATCTTGCGTAAAACCTTCAGCCTATAGGAGTTCGCAAAAAATTACCCAATTGGTTTGGGGATTATCCTGACAGTGCTAGTAACCAGTTAGTTTATTCTTCTCACCATCTAAATGGTTTCCGATGTCGGGTTGTGTTCTTCAGGGTTCCATTCGTGGTCCTCTACCGTTTCCCTTTTCATGTAATACTGGCCAGTAGGCCGAAATTATCACTTGTCGATGATTTGAAGATTAGGAGTGAGATACAGGGGCCGTCTAGGAGTCTTTTTTGGACACGCGAAACCGTTCTCAGCGGACGCAGAGCGCTGTAAGATAATGGTTGCAGGCAGATATGGGCGTCATTATAGCCCTTAATCCCCAGGGGGAATAAATATCTCTCAGTCAAACATTGGAACGGATCTACGCGTTACCCTACGTGACACGCTCGGGGTTTTTCGCCCTTATTTGTCTTGCGGCCAGTAAGGCACCCGAGTCCTAGGGCGTCTCTCTCGAACTCTGGGGAGTCTTACTGCAGCCTTTTTCGCTACTACTTATTCATCCCCGTATAGAAAAATATCTCCATCTATATAAATAAATTAATAAATATTGTTATCCCCAGGTCATGAGGGAGGACTTAGAAGTTGTGAAGCGGGATGGTTCAAGAGCTATTGAGAAAGCGACACAAACTTATCTGGGTTTCATAACTTTCGTTAGCAAGCTGATTATCCAATGATTCATTGCCCACGTCCTCTGTGGCTTCTCGGAGCGGGCAAAACAACTGGTCAAACCAATCAGAGGAAGCATATCAGTATGGCAGATGAAAAACCCAAGGAAAGAAGTTTCCAACTAAATACCAACACATCTATCAAAAAACCAGAGCAACAACAACCTCCAAGGATCTCTATTCATAAAACGACGGTTTTGGGGTGATACCACCATGTGAACTGTGACATAAAGCCCGACGAATGGCATAAGATCATTTAATGCAGCAAAGTTATGCTACGTATTCTTCGGTCTACCCGTGGTGACTTTGGTAGTCAACGACAGACTGCCTATATGTGTGCACTTGCCAGTTCTGCTGCTTCTGTGAGGCCAGTTGCATCCGCGGTGCACTCACACAAGCCTGTCGTCAAATTCGTCGCATTCTTTCCACTCCTAGCGGTATACTGAGAGTTCGGTTCTTAAATACAGTAGCAGAAACCGGAGCCCACCAGTTCATGCGTTCCGATGAAATTTGTGCAGCCTGTTTCTTCGCTTTAATGGTTCGTATAGCCTGCGACTGAAAACATCACCCTCCCCTCCACTCGTTCCACAGACGATCATTATTATCGTTGTCTCAGGCAACTAGCTGTCTTCCTGTTGTTTCTAATTATCGCCACCAGTCGACCGCTTGATGTAACCATTCATTTTCTCTTCTTCCTCGTTACTTCAAACATTTCGCGAACTTCTCAGTCAGCATTTAAGAGAAACAAAGGATGATGGCATGTTGCCGACTGCAACGAAAACTTGGGGCAAAACGCAAGGCAGAATGCTCGATTCTTCAACATTTTTTACAGGTTATTTTTCCTCGCGTTCCCCCCGCGTTCCCCTGCAAAATGCCCTGGCTTTTTCCGCCTAGCCCTGCTTTTATTTCACTTGGCCCTCCTGCCCTTGCTATTTCCCCCCTTCTGCAACAGTTTTCCCTCCGATCCACCACTCCATAGGGACTATTTGCTGTCACCAACTACTGTGTGTATTCCGGATCCGCACGCAAAGTTACAATAGGAGAACTGCGTGTCCTCCAGCCAGTCATACCCTACACAAACTCAGCTGCCACTAATCCCAGAAAGTGAAATTTCATGCTGAGCATACATTCACTATAAGACTTGAAAATTATTTAAACGTTTTTCGCGACAAAAATTCAGCAATTTCCTTGGAACTGCCTCCTTCAATGGCGTTGGAGATCAAAAGGTGCTTCTAATTACCGTCTTGGTTTAGTTTAGCCTACCTTAGTCGATAATCTTCCCTCTCACCTTCTTGATCTCCTAGGTTGAAGAACCAGTCTTTCATTGAACTTCGGTGGCTACGTTTGGAGCTGCTCGCACCTTCCGGTCGCTTTAGTTGAAAATTTTTAATTGCTCCTGAGAAATGTAAATTGCATGTGCCAATGGCAACTTACTCCAAACGGTCATTTCTGTCCGTATGTGCTTGATGCCTCTCTTCGACTTCGTACCAGCCCAATACAGTTGATGGGTGAATTGTGTTCAGGAGATGTGGCCTAACACTGCAGCCAGTATTATCCTCATGTTACTGGGGTTTAGGCTGGATAATTCCTCACACTACAAGGGTTGATCCGCGTGCTAGCATGACTTGTGAGGATGTTATGGAAGCCTCTACCCAATTTCATTTCTATTATTATAAATCGCACAATGGATGGCATGGGCAGACCAGTATCAGCCGGGATTTTGCGATCAGTTGCAGGGGTTGAGGCCTATTGGCGCCCGAACAAATGGATAATGACCTGCATCTGCATTGCCATTTTCTTCGGGTGGCCTGTGGGCCTCGAACTAAAGGTTGATGAACCTACTCATTATAGCCTCTCCGTCAAGTTCGGTAAACCCAGTTGCTTCAAGAGGTCGTATGTCACGTAGGACCGCCTGACTCAGGCACGGTAGGAATTGTCTCCTTCCGGTGGCTTTCCTGTAGTTGCGTCAGGGCATCGGTCAACAAATTATTTAGAAACGTTCTGGAATACTTGATTTCACTGTCAGCATCCTATCTTCTATGGCCTTCGGAACTTCTGGAGACACCTTTGCTTCCCGCCTGCTGACAACTGCTTCCATAACTGGTTAGCTTCTCGGCAACACCAAGAAAGATGAGATGCATGTAGTCTAGGGGAAGCATGTCATCATGTCTGTGGCCAGTTTCTCGGAGGGTGAACGGGCTTTATGGTGAGATATATCTTCCTGCATGCGGAACGGTGTGGGTAATCGAAGTCCGCGTACTCCGACGGGAAAGGCCATACTGAAACATTCCCCATAGCATTCAGCCTCATACTTGCCACGATCCTTTTTCGATGTATCACCGCATACGATGTTAACTGATGAAGGGGTCGGGGTGTTGCATGCCACAGCCTCTAACTTAACAAGAATAAGGTGGTTGAAAGCAGCTGCTAAAACACCATTCTGCAAAATCCCTGATAACCTAGTAATGACCTTGTCTAGGCACCGAGTCATGTTGTCCGATTTGATGAAGCCACCGTGAACACCAACTAAGAATATTCTTACTACCATGAGATACGAAATCTGACTCAAAACGTCATCGCTCATCGTATTTTCGTTGTCAGTTTCACCGGTCCCGCCTGCGTGGCTTACCCCAGTGAAATCCTGTGAGATCTCTTCCAAAATCATGCCCTGCGTGAAACGTAAGACATGCTTCGAAGTGTCACCCCCCACTTTCCGACATCGGCGAAGAAGTGATCTTTAGTTGGGGGAGCCATCTTCCATTTACAAGTACACTAATATGAGAACTAAAAAGGTAAGTGACACGTTTACATGGCACACTGCTACAACTAGGGGTATTGTGCTTGAATCCATTACAAATTTTACCGGATTTATGAAGTTATGAGATCCACATCGCTGGAGGATAAAGAGTCGTTTGAAAGTAATTACGCGCCGATGACTGTCATTCAGAAAAACAACAACAAGTATACGTAGCTTCACTGTTGA